TATCTGATATAAAGAATTCCACAGAGASCTGCTTAAGAGTAGTGCTGAGAAATCAGTGTTGGATTCGGAAAAAAAGGCTCTGAAACGGGATTTGCTACAGGTACCGGCAGGAAAGCGTCCGGCAAGGGGATGTAAGTGTTTTCCAGGGGAGGAGAAGCAGGCTGGGAAGAACTGCAGCTTCAGGGGAGGCCAGGAAGGCYGCATTTTTCAGGTGTTCTGCGAGAGAAATCTGCAAGATTTAGACATTCGAGTGAGTTAGAGAGGACTAAGCTGTGCTGATAGACGGCTCTGGTGGAATGATGGTTAGTTCTGTCTCARCCTGCGGAGCTGGAGTTGTCCATGAGATGCTGGAGGTTCTTTGTGCCAATGTGTGATTATGCATAGAAAAAAGGTCCTGTGGCCAGGATCACTGTGAGCATCTCTGCAGCATCTCTCCACTCCAGAGCCCTGGTCTGCAGGAAAATGCTGGTTTCCATGCCCCTTCCAACTTTCTTTTCCCTCCTCTAGTATAAGCCATGAAAAAAAAATGACAGTAGGTTGATTTCAGAGAACAAAGAAGCAAAAAATGTGTATACTCCTAAGCCATCCATAAACACCGTCATCCACTTTGGTTTTACTTAGGGAAAAGAAAGATTTCAAAACTTCCCATGAGTAGTACTTAACATACGTGCAACTAGGTGTCTATCACTGGTCTTGGAAAAATAATTGCTTGCTTTTTAGATTTTATTGGTCTCCCATCAGTCTTAAAAGTAGGAATGCAAATAGTTTCTGGATTATATTAACTACAAGCAAGCAAATTATACTCCAGCCACCGTTTTATCCGGTGGCTACRAAAGCATCTAGAGAGCAGCAGGATAATGTCACAAATGTCCTGATTCTCAGACTTTGCAGGGTAAACTGATTCACCACTGGGACTGAGGAAGAAGTTCTTGCTGCCCCTTGGGAATTCCATGTGTGCCCCCCTCCTGGAGGGGGACCACGGCAGCAGCTGCTTAAGATCCGTAAGATCCACTCTGCTGCAGCACAGCAATTTCCGTTTCCCTGGTTGATAGGGCAGAAAATTCTCATTTCTCAACTTGTTAGAATATAAGCATCTGCAGTGATATAACAGGGCAGAAGAAGTTGTATAGTGTCTACCGATAAGAACTACTGCATATTTTATACAAAGGATATTTTCAGTATGGCTGTGTTAAYTGGGAAATTAGAATTGCCTGGATGTTGCCATACATGCTAATTATGCTAAAGACACTGAGGAAAAATCTTTGTCTTCCACATAGCATGTATGGCTAGAAGATAAAGACCTTTTAAATTCACACTTGTCATCTTGGTGCGCAAGGGTGAAAATATTTTAAGTACGTGTATTGGCCTGGAATTTATGTGGAAAGAAAACAGAGTGTTCTTGTTTACAGGTTTTTCAAAACACTGACAATAATGGGCAGATCAGGGAAATGTGAACTTGCAAATCAGCTTTATTAGTGTTTCTTGTYCAGCATGAAAGTTTTGTGCTAAAAGAGACCACAGGTATCACCACAAATAGCTCTCTGCTCTGTGTGTCTATTTACTCTCTCTCATGTACATCTGCTTGCAGATATCTCTATTTTGTTTTGTGCAAAGCAAATATTTTGGCTAAAATGTGTTGAAATGCTGTTTTAACTGAGTCATTCATTTGCAATAAATGAAGCATAAAGAATGCATTTTGGAAGCTACACTTAACAGAATTAAAATCATCACACTATTCCTTCCTTAAATAAATTCTATTCAGCAACTCGCCTGGATAATGAATGGCATGAAAACTCCATCTACCCTCATATAGCTCTTATGAGCACAGAGTTAAACCTGTGCCACTGAAGTGGGTTATTTTGTTTACTTAGAGGAAAAATATTCAAGTTCAGTTTGTTATAACCAGGTGCTTTTTATTGACCAGCTCTGCTCTCTGTAGCTGTAAAGAGCTGATGGCATCCACATGATCTGCCTCATTATTTTGGGCACAGCTTCCACCTTCCCGGGGAGAGCTGCTCGTCTATTACATTCATTAGGTTAGAGTGAAATTAGTGTGATTACTCATATGCTTAAATTTGAGTATATGTGCTATAAACATTCAAATGTAGGAGTTAGAACCTCTCTGGTATTTATTTAGGTCTTCGTGGTCAGGCAGTCTTTTATTAAAGGAGGAAGTCTCAGCCAATAAAATTACACTATTAAAGATTCTCCTCTGGCTCCTTGCAACTGGCATGGTTGTGGACTCTCTTGGTTTTGTAATTTATGGCAGAAATCTGCTATATTTTCTCTTGTAAGCGTTTGCTAAGAATGTTTATAAATATGTTGGGAATTACTTTCAATAGAGTATGGACAAAGCAATTACTCATCCAGTGTAAGTAATCATTCAGATTGCAGGTTCTTATGGTGCAAGACAGGTTGAGGTGCTGACACAGCACCTGTGCTAATAACTAGTATCTGATCAGACGGGGAAACAGGGCATTGACATGTGCAGAGGTCAGAGATGTTGGGAAATTCAGTGACATTTGGCCCCTTAAAAACTCCAAGGCTTTTGTGGGGCAAGAAACAGATGTGGAAATGGTATTCTCTTGCAATATGCAAGTGTAGTACATTCTACATTTGGTGAGAATGGGAATGCTCTTGCATTTAATGCCACAGAAAAGAATCTAAAAAGGTTAAAGCACATTTGACATGGACCAACATTTTCCATTTGGCCTGCTGTCAATCTGCTTAAAACACCTCCTCTGACAGAAACTCTGCAGAGTTTTGTCCCCGATGTGCTGCTGTGAGAGGATGACCTAGGAGGGGAAGATCAAGTGGTAGCTCGTGCCTTAAAATCTTGACCCCTTGAAGTTAAGAGCAAAACTCTTCCAGCTGGAGTGGGCTCAAGCCTTTATCTTTGGTCCAACAACTCAGTGGCTGCCAGTGATGAACCTTTATTCTTCATTGCCTTCTTCTGAAAAATGGGATTAAAGGTCAGTGTGGATAGTGCAGCTTCTTCCAGAACTGTGAGGAAGGCAGCTGAGGTAACCTTGTTGTTGCAGCCTGAAGTGCCCAGCACGGGAGAGGAGCTCTGTGGGACGGGACCAAGTCCTGGAGCTCCAAGCTGCCCAGCACAAGGACCGGTCTGCCAGATAAACTGTGCCCTGCAGAGGGGCAGAGTGTGCTGAATTTGTGCTGAGCAGTTCCCAGGGGACCCAAAATTCCTGGAAAGCATTTTAAGGTACGGCTGAAGCCTTTGTCAGTGTAGCTCCAAACCCATGACATGTCAGTGAACTCGTGCTGGCAGTTTTCACCCTGTCAAGGCTGCCACCACAGAAGCTGCTCATTCCGAGRGTAGGGCTGCAGATTTGTCCCAAACTCTGGGATTCTGACACATTGCTGTGTTCTCTCTGCCTTCCTCCCGAGGATGGCTCCGATCTGCACACAGTCATGTCTGCAGTCAAAAGAAATTATTTCTAATAACAAGAGATTCCGGAGCTGCTTAGCAGGAAATTACTACATGTGATGTTGCTTAGCAATCTCAGGCTAGCCTGACTGCCCGGAATAACGCTTTTCTGTTGGAAAACCCAGAGMAGGTTGAGGGGTAGTGGGTGGCTGCTGCTTTCCGCTCAGAGCAGAGGAGTCGGGAATACGGCAAATAACAGTGCTTGTCCTGTCGGGGCTGGTGTGATGTTTATTGAAAGCGAGAAGGAGCTCCCCCTCGAGAGCGGCGGCAGCTGCGGAGCGGAGGGGAGGAGGCGGGAGCAGCAGGCGGTACAGGGGGTTGGAGTGAGTCCTGCAGACTGAAGGAGGACGCACAGAGACGGGGAACCACGCCCTAGAGACACGGGCATCGTGGCAAAGAGGCCGTGAACATYTTTCCACGATGAATTTAAACGGTGAGTGGGAACTGTCAGCCCTGTCTCTGCGCCTGTGGAACCAGAGGCTTGGGCTTTGCTGGTCTCTTTTAACTTTGCATTAGTATGGAGCAAAGTTCTCGAGATAACAGCTACCTACAACAGGTAGCTGTTGGTGAGGCTCTGAGCTGTGTGATCCAGGGGTTTTCCCTCTGATTTCTCTGGTGCTAGAGCAGTAACTTCAGTCCAGCTCACAGGGACAAGTGTAGTGCAAACTTGCCCAGAGGAAGTGAGCTTTCCCTGTCAATCCTCTCTAACCAATTTCTTTTAGACAAAGATTTCCTCTTCCCTTATCCAGTGGTTTTCTCCAGTCCTATCTGATGTTAAATATCTCCAGAAGCAGCTACGGTTAATGCTGGATTAATCTATTTGTGCAGAAGATGTCATATCAATGTCCATTACAATTTTGCCCGAGCGGCACCTAAAAGCAAATTTTCATCTTTGCCCATTCTTCATTATCTTCATTTCTTATTTATCTTAAAACAGAAACTGCAAAATTATTTTTWAAAACCCAACCCTTTAAAAATAATTTTCTAAGCTGTTGAGTGTGTTAATATGCCAACAGCAACTGAGGAAGGCTGAGTAGAAGTACACGTTCATCCTGAACTGGCAGGAGCTGGAGCTGTCAGGGTGTCCCCTGCCATCTGGCTTGTCGGAGCATGTGGCAGATTCACAGCTCTCGAGGGAGGACACACTGCAGAGGCCACAGGATCCCATTATGCTGTTTATGGGGACAAGCCAGACGTTTGTCTCGCTGAGACGGGATGCCAGTCGGGGGTGTTCCAGCCACGCGTTCGTTCCATAGCCCCTTAAAAACTCGAAGACGAAACTGGTGCTGACAGAAATGTTTATGTTTGGAAAAAGAAAACAAAAAACGTGTCACAACCCTGACGGATTTCAGCTAGASGCAGATACGGAACCGGGATGAGACTGAGCTCGCCCCTGCCGGCGTGGGCTCGGGATCTGTGCCGGTGCTCAGCGGGGCGCCGCGGCCACACCGCGCTGTGCCAGCCCCCCAGCGCCGGCGGAGCCCTGACACCGCCTCCCTCATTACCATCCCTTCCTCCTCCTCCTCCTCTCCCCCGCCCCAGCCTCCTCCTCCTCCTCCTGCCATCCTCGGTCGCGGGCCGCGCAGAGGTGCATGGCAGCGGCGCCGGAGCTGCGGCGGCCCCCAGCAGCAGCAGCAGCAGCAGCTGCCGAGCCGCGCTCTGCTCCGCGCCAGCGCCCGCAGCAACTTTGCCGCTTCGCAGGCTGCGGGAGCGGGGCGATGTTGTGACGGCGCACCCGGCGGCGGAGCCTCCTCGGCAGTGCGGAGCAGCGCGGAGCAGAGTCCCCCCAGCCTCCCTCTCCCGCGGGGCGGAGCGGAGCATCCCCACCTCCCTCCTCCGCGGAGSAGCGCGGCACGGAGCGGAGCCCTCCCGCCTCTCTCCCTCCCTCCTTCCCTGCCTGCCTCCCTCCCCGGCGGCGGACGCAGCCCGGGGCGGGAGCGCGGATGCGGCGCGGAGCCCGGAGAAGCCCATCGCGGGGCCGGGGCCGGGCGGCGCGACGCGCGGGGGAATGCTGAGCCCCGCCGCCCGGCACCGCGCCCGCCGCCGGGAGATGCTCCTCGTGCTCGCTCTGTGGCTGGCGTGGCAAGAAGCGCCCGCGGCGCCGACCCCAGCGGCGGAGGACATCACCCGGGGAGTTGTGAGTTACCCGACACCCCCGTTTCTTTCCGCTCCCGTTTCCCCCTCCACCCGCCTCGCCGGGTACTCCCCCACCTCCGGGCATCGCCGGCCCACGCGTCGCTGGGTGAGCTTCGGCGGCTGGAAACGCTCGCCGGCGCGCCCCGCTGCCCGGTTCTCCCTTTTTCCGCCACTGCCCTCCATCCTGCTCCCGCTGATCGGGCCGTTTTACAGCCGGTGCCCCCTCCAGCATTATCTACGTGGTGCCGCTCGTTGCAGCTGGTGCCCCCCCGCGCAGACGGAGGGGTCGGTTTATCCGCCCCCGCACCCAGCGCCCGCACCCCATACCCGCTGCACCGAGCCCTTTGGAAGCCAGAGTCCCCTACCCTTGAACCCACTGCATCCCACCGCACCTAATGCATGGTGCTTGCTCTGCACCCCGGCCTGGTGACCCAACTTCCCCCAGTCCGGCATTATGGGGCGATGGCCCCAGCAGCTTTCACACATGGATAGTGATTTCTCAGGCGCTGGGAAAGGGCTGGCCTGTCTCGAGGGCTCCCTTCCTGCCATGGAGCCACCCAAACTCCAGCAGCAAGCAGGGTAAAATGGCACGTTTGGAGTCAGAGCGAACCCGGAGGACTGAGACGTGCTTGGGGATGTGCTAAGGGCTGCTCTGTGACGGCAGCAGGTGGAGGATTGCCTTCATTGCAGGAGTCTACACAGCGAGGGCATCCTTGTTGTCCTGCTTCTCCCTTTACAGGTGGCTGCTCAGTCTGCAGGGAGATGGCAGGTTTTAGCATGCATGGAGAGCTTAGGTCATGCCCCTGCCAGGTCATGGTGGTAACAGGTCTCTACAGCTTCACCTTTCTGACAGGAAAGAAGTGGAGGGTTTTCTCCTGGAGGAGGAAAAGTTTATTGTAGCTTTTACCAATTGTAGCTTAGAGAAGCCCCAGTACTGTACCAAACGTGGGTGTCAGAAAGACAGCTGTGGCTGGGTGTGGGCAGGTGGTCCTGGGGCTGGACCCCCCAGTTTGGAGAAATTCCCTCACGTTCACCGATTTTCAAAATGCGGCCAGTGCATTGCTGTGAAGGAGGGAGGGAGGGAGGGAGGGAGGGTTTGCAGCATGGCAGGGTTATCTAATGAGCAGGGCTTGCTCAGAGGAGCACCAGGACGCTGCTCTGCCGCTCAGGCTTCGGCTTCGAGCGTGTGCTGTGGCTCACAGGCTCCGGCTCAGACACCTACCAGGGAGGACAAAGTCTATCGTTCCCCATCTGTTCCTAGGAGAATAGAAAATGGGATGAATGTAAGGTACACCTCCATCATTATGGTGCATTCCCTTTCCTCTGTAACCAAATGTTAAAGCTAGTATTAATATTTCATGCAAACAGCACTCGAATTGATGTATTCTGCCCCAATCAATTTAACTCAAACTTTGACCTGCTCTTTCCCTTGCTACCGAACATGCTGCGCTCATCTTTTATAGGGTAAATGTTAATACTCGAGGGGCTTATTAGTTACTGATGACAACTGTCAAGCATTAATGTACCTATTTAGTCCTGTACTATATTTGAGCATTGTCTCCAAACCCTGCTGAAGAGCTGGGGCTGTCTGGCAAAGCAGAAGGTGCTGGGGGTGATGGTAGYAGAGTAGGAGTGAACTGCAGGAGAAGGGGATTACATTAAACTAGGACTTACTAAGACGGTGAATCTGACATTTAGGATATACGGTGGATGTCAGGGTGCTGTCTCCCTGCTGTGGGTGTGCATGGTGGGGCAAAGAACCTCCCCAGCTTGAGACAGCATTGATGGGTTTCTAAAGGGTTTGAATGTAAATCAGGTTTATGCTTATGCCCTCTAATGAGCATCAGGGAGCACAAGAAGCAAGATATTTTCAGAGGTTCCGTTAGAAAACTACCGCTCTTTGCGAAGTGAGAGCCTCCAGAATTAATTGACATCCACTTGGTGAAGCAACTAAGAAAGTAAAGATCTGTGAGGTCTTTCAATCAAGTATTTGAAAACTAGGAAGCATGAAATTGTGGCAATAGAAAGCTCTGCTAACCTTGGAAAATGATATCCAGCAATTCTCTGTAGTAAACAGAGCACAATATTGACAGAGCTTTTACATCCTAAATGCTTGTCCCTTGCAGCCAAGAGGTTTTCAGTGCTGAGCTGGTCTGTGCCTCTGAGCTCTGTACTCTGCTCCATTCCTGCTTGAAGTTTCTTGTAAGTGAAACCATGGTGCTAGGCCAAATTAGAGTTCAGCAAAAGGAAAGAGGGCTATAATTCAATGGCAGCTCTTATTAGCATGCTGCCCAAAGCAATATAACATGGAACGTTTCTCCAGATTTCATTACTAGTAGAATATCCTGCCCAGTTTATAAATCTAACCTCATTATTAATGTTTTTATTGTTCTCCATTAGCTGTCTTGACAAAGAGAACATAAAATAGCAGATGGACCAGAGCTTGACAAGAGTGATTCCACTGAATTTTAGTATGCCAGTTTTGAGGTTTATGACTTTGCATTTTGCACTGCTGCCTTTGCACTAAACCCCCAACCCCTCCTGACCACAGCATTCACAAATTGCATCATTTTATGGCTGTTGAGTTCAGATATCTAAGGGGTGAAGGCAGCAAAAACTTCCTATACATTAGTAGTAACTGGGTAATGAGAGCTCTCACTTCACTGGGCTTTGAACCAGGTCTGGGGGAAAGTCTGCCTTTGAGTCGAGCTTTTCAGAATAGCTGGCATGTGGAGACTGAACACCGAAATGTTGACCCAGAGACCAGCCTGTTTATAAGGGACCCGGCTGTTCCTGCAGGCAGCTCCTGCCTGCTGGGCTGCATTGCTGCCGTTGTGAGGCCATGGCTATGCCAGGGCAAAACCTGTGCCTTGGGGATGGACTGACTCCCGAGGCTGGGCAAGCTTGGCCCCGAGGGAGACGCTTTGCTCCGGCGAGTTGCTTTGCCTGGCACTGAGGTTGCCGGACAGGAGTTGACAGTGGGGTGGTGGTGGTGGCATCACTGAGATCATCCTGTGTGGACGCTGACTCTGGTATTAGTGGCTAAGGGATGCAGGAGTGCCGGGAAAGTTTTATTTTGATTACAAGAGCCTGGGTGGAAAAAAAAGACTGTGAGCGTCTTTTTCTGTCTTTGTGGCCAGGGGTGAGGGAAGGTCTATGTATGCCCCCAAGGCATTTCTCCAGCTGGGGATTGCTGGGCATTCCTGGGGGCTTTCGTATGAGCGATGCCTCTTTAAGCCTCCTGCTCACAAAGCCCCATCTGTGTTGTTCCCAGAAAAGTTGCTCCCAGGGGTTGGAGGCATTTGCATTCATCAGTGGAGACCAGGGACCCACGTCCCCCTCTGCCGTTATCCCAAGTGGCTCTTTGTTTAGGGCAAGGCCCTCGACTTTGTGGCAGCTTCTCATTTRAATGACAAGGATGCATTTATGGGCTGAGCGAGGTGGCACAGAGCCCTTCGAGGCTGTGCCCCCGCCCCCCGGCTGGCTGTGGTGGGCCAGGGGAGACAGAGGTTCCTCTGTTTTCCCACGTCAGAGAGTGAAGGGACAGGAGGAGCAGCAGTTTSTTATGAGTGTGTACCCTGTATCTCCCAAGCGCCAGATTCAAGAGTAGAAGACAGCCCACGACTCATCCTTGCTGTTTCTGGTGTGCTTTTCCGGCCCTGCGTAGGGTAGGAYCATCCTGCTGCTGTCACTGCCAGGTGCCCATGTGCCACATCCCGCTCCATCTGACCTCCACTCCCACCTGCCCAGAGTCAGCCAAGAACTCTCCTAAATGTCTGCATTTAAGGACCCAGTAGGACATGTCCCTGAGACATGGATTAGCTCCTGGTTCAAGGCTTGGAATAATCAGCCTCTTAAAATAAAATCCTTGTATGAATGTGGGCTGTTCCCTGTATCAGGAGAAAGTACCAGACTTCTTCTGTTTCTGCTAATGGGGAAATTAAAAATTGATAATTCCAGTCGGAGCTTTATTCGGCCTTCTAAAGTGGCGAGTCTTTAAGGACAGAATGCTCCATAGATTCCCTAAACAACTTTGGAGAGAGGAGCTTCGCGTGGCCCCTCTGCCATTAAAGCACTTCAAGCCTTCCCATATGGAGCAGTGCCCAACCCAAGTCCATGAATTCCCTTCAAGAAAGCTAAGCTACCAAATTAAAAAAATAATAAAAGTGCTCTTGGTTATATTTTAAAGTACCTCTTGAAGCCAAAGCACAATGCGGACTGACAAAAGGCTGTCTGGAAGCTTTCAAACAGCCGGGCTGCTGTGAAAGCATTTAATCTGGTATTAAAGCGCTGGTTGGTGTGAACCTCTCCTTCCCTTTCAGATTTGAGTCCTCCATGTACAGTAATGCAATTTCTTCCTGGGCTTGGCTGCTATCGTGGCCCCAGCCGTGGGAATTACCCAGGGTAGTCAGGTCAAATTACCCGCTTTAATGAAACTGCCTTGGGGAAGTGCTCAGAGCTAGCGGGCGAAACCCTGCTGTCACCAGCGACTTCCCCGCGGTTGGTGCTGGGGATGCAGTAAGCTCCCACATTGRCCTCACTCTTCATCCTTGGTGCTGTGTTAGGAGTAGAAGAAATTGCTGGATAGCAGTCCCTGTCTTCCCTGGGGACAGCATGCGGTGGGGCTGTACCTCCACTCCCTCCTTTTGCCCCTAAGATCTCCTGGGACGAAGGGACATTGCTGCCTGTGTGACTCAGCCTGGCAATTTCGTTATTCTTCCTCCTTAAATTAAGCGTGTGAAGAGGCAAATGCAACGGAGGAATGCAAAGTTGCCAAATGCAACACATTCCCATCCCTGCCCGGCATCGGACACGGCTCTCCCGGTTTGGTGTCGGGYGTCACTCACCAGTGGGCCTGAATGTGTCGGCTCTGCGGAGGACAAGGGGGGCAGTGGGTGTGACATGGGTGATGTCATCGTGAAACCGGGGGTCTTGGCTGTCTGTGACACCCCGTTTGTCCTGGCAGGTTCATTAGTGCCAGCGGCCGCTTGCTCTGACTCA